TCCATCCATCCATCCATCCATCCATCCATCCATCCATATCTTTAGACACCAGGCGAGATTATATTTTCGCCAGCTTAGTCTCTGATTGTCTCGTCCTTCAAGCAATAAAATGAAAATTTAGATGTGAACATCTGACCATTTAAGTCCTTGAACCAAAATTAAAATGAGAAAGATCAGTAATGTCTTCCTCTCAACATTCAGAAGCTACTGTCAGCTGTGTGGATTGAGGTTTTGGAATTACTGTGACCTTCTCAGTGGTCTATGAGTGTGTTGGCAAGGCATGACTGATGCAGATTATCATAGTAGGAGAAATAAAATGACTGTGGTCATAGCTGCTACCCTAGGGTGTCTCTTGCTGGAGTGAAACGCATTAAAAAATTCTCTGTGCACCCATCTGGCAGTATTTTGTATTTCTTCGTTGATCCTCCCAGTCTGGGTGTTAATAGTAGAGTCAATGGGACCCACCCCAGCCTCAGAGCCCTCTCTGGCTCCACTGAGCTTCTGCTCCACAAAGCAGGGAGGTCGTGTCTTTTAGAGGAGCAGATGAATTACAGTCTTCTCCGGCTCTCTTCTGTCTCTGCTCAAGACAAAGCCTTCTTTTATGCCTGTCCCTTCCTAAAGCTCATCTCACTCGGTGTCCTTGAACGAGTGCCGAATGAATAAGCCGTGTTGTGAAGTTGTGCTTTGGGCGACTCTGAAGTTGTGATTAGTGAATAGAACAAACACTGGCTAATCAGGAATTTGTTCTGCTTGTTTTGTTTTCTGAAACAGATTCCTTATAGGAGCAGAAGAGCTGAGATCACGTTGTGCAACGCTCTATCTATAGGATGTACAAGGACTACAGATCAGGTCGAGTCACAGGTAAGAGGCCTCATTTGCCTGTTTGTAACTTAAAAACAGCTCCTAGAGAGCTTTTAAATGCTTAAAATTTCAAATCAATGAATTAGAAATTTTTTATTTTCCTCCTTTAGATACAAACATGGAAAATTATCCTTAAAGTCTCATTACAGAGTCTATATATCTTAAGAATTGTATTGTTGGGAACATTGTTTTAGTTTTGTATTGTCTCATTGCCATTCCCAATTAATTTAAAATGTACAGTAAATGTTTTTTTTTTATAATTTCTAAATGTTAATGATTAAGAAATGTTGATGCAATAAAGATATCTCCTCTGAGATAAATGGAAAAAATTATCAGTACATTAACTAATTACTAAACATTTTATAGCTGCAGCCTTGCAAAGAACCTGCATTGAAGGCAAATACATTCTCAAGAGGCTTTATTGTCAGAAAAGCAGAACATTTACCCGTTTTCCAACCATGACGCTTTAAAAGATCAAGGTTTAGTGTCTTGCAGTTAATGAACCCTTTGTTACTGTTAAGCATTAGCGATGGCTGCATCTCGATGTGGCATATTTCTGCTTGTAGGTTTAGGGCTGCATTGCACAACTAAGAGGAAAAGACCCAGAGTACCTCTAAGGTCTTTGACTTTACCTGAAATCACAGATGATTGAAAGTTCAACACAGGTGGCCGTTTCCACAGGAGGATGATCCTAAACACATCAGAACCGGTTTTGGAAAGGGATAAAGGAGGCTAACTTTGAGCTTCTGTAATAGCCTCGGCTTCAGCCCTGTGCCTTCGCACACCGACCAGGTGATCGGCTGCTGATTTTCCCATTTCTCTAACAGCAACTGAGGCATCTCATAAGAAGCATGTGAGGAATCCAGCAGGAGTTTTTTTCACATTATGTTTTTTACCCAAAGATAAGAAATTATTAAAAATTCAATTTTTCTAGTGACTTAATAGAGAAATTGTCATTTAAACTGTCTGCTGCTCAAACTTGGGCTTTACCAATATTTAGTTATTTAATAGATTTATTTATTTCTATGATGCTATCCTTATTTGGAAATCTTTACAAACAGTTTGCATCATCCAGTATCAACATTTTCACCTGAGGTTCAGAGCTTCTGCCGTGCACAGGCTCTCTGCTCTGTCACCCCTTATTATAATGCCATCCTTAAAGCAGCAAATGTGATTCAGTTCTATATTGGCCTTTTCATACCATTGCACATAAGCTAACACAAGGAGTGTTCAACACAGGAGAGCAGATAATGATTTTCATTAAACGCATAATTACCTTTTATACAACCCTGCTATTCATTGTGCATGAGATTAGACATGATATAACTATATTTCACTAAGTATCTGTTATTATAATTTTGAAAACATTGGGATCCTGCAGTGCATTGTGTGAAAGTAGAAAGTGAAAGATTACTTTGAAGAAAAGAGGCAGAGGGGGGAAGAAAAGAGCCTTTTTTGCCAGATTTTTTTGCCTGTGTCTGTCCTCCTCCATTACTCTCACAGCGCAATATGCAAGTCAGCCAGGTGATAATGAATGCCGCGTCTGAATGCTGCTCCTTCCTCTCATCATGTCTGTGTCTGCTCTGCTTTCTGAGATACATCCTCTTAATTTTTTGGCTTGGATTAAATCTGTGCCTGGTTTGTTCAGGAGAATCTTACAGTGAACCCTGCGTTAAAAGTAAGGTGGGGTCTGTCTTCATTAAAAGAAGCTGCAGTCATCCTGCTTTGAAATCTAATTTTGTCAAATTTAAATGTGATAAAACAACAATGCCTTTCAGGGGTATACAACTCCGCTTTCTGTGGCACTCATCATATTCACCTAATGCATTAGCATCTAGATTTATTGCTGTTATTTCTCTTCTTTCAACCTTTAGTTTCTGATAACTTTTAAGATCTTTTTCTTTATGTAGTATGTTTCCTGCTTTTAAACACCACTAATACTAGGGATGTCCCAATCCTGATTTTGAGGTCGTATCGGCCCGATCTTTTTTATATTTTCCTGTTATCGGAGCTCAGCTACATTACCTGACAAGTCGCGCTGATCTTTACAGCAACTGCCGTAAAGTACCCGCTAGTTACAGTTGACCGTAGTTGCGCAATACAAACCTCCCCGGCGGTGCAAAGCAAGTATGTCAGAAGTGTGGAAGTATTTTACTGTCGTGAGTGAAGACTGTCCTAAAGCTACTTGCAATGTCTGCAACATGGCAATTTCAAGAGGAGGTAGCAGCAGAGATGCATTTAAGACCACGTACTTGATTCGTCATTTGAAGACAAAACATGACAATGCTTATGAAGCAGTTTTGTAAAGCTGCAGATGGAAATGTTACTAAAGCAAAGCAACAAACGCTGGATGTTATGAGGAAAGACAAATACTCCCACAAAAATAGAGCAAAGAAGATCACAGACAGGTTGGTCAAATTTATTGTTACTGATTTTACTTATAAGCTACAGTAAAAGTGGGTCTGGGATAGCACTTTCTATTTGATAATACGGTACCAAGTCAGTGTTTTTCTTTTTACTTTTGTCTAAAATATTCAATTGAAGCTGACCTTTAATTCTGTGTAAGATTTTGATTTAATGGGATTTACAGTAGTAATAGTAATGTTTTTTGATTTAATATTAGTCTAATAAACAGTTTAGTTACTTGATCAAAATATATTTGAGTTTGATCAGTTTCAATACTAAAGAGAAAATATCGGATCAGGACTCGAAATCGGATTTGATTTGAGGTAAAAAAGATCGGATCAGGATCGGAGGCCTAAAATGCTGATCGGGACATCTCTACCACCAACAGTCAAATACTGCCCATAAAATGACCCTCTGTGTGAGTATTTACACTTCATTTGTAGTTGTTGTTGTTAGAATGGCTGGATGTGTTGCATAAATAACGACATAATCCAGTGCATATGGCAGCCCCTAATGCTGAAAAAGAAATATGTCACTGTTTAAGGCATAGTTTTGAATGGCTGACAGGCCGTTATGTCTTCTATCTGTTGAAAAGGTTAAGGAAATTTGATTTTAAATAAAAGGAATTCAAATTGACTCTGCTCGTTGGATTTGCACATTTATTCAAGGGATTTTATTTTCAGGTTCCTAAAGGGAATGCTTACTGGAACACCAACAGCGGTATTTCTAAGATGAGATATTATCAACAGTAAATATGTTTGCTTCTTGTTTGAATCCTTATTTGTAGAATAGACTTTTGAGATATTTTTGGATTATTCTTCAGATAGATAAATGTTTCAGGAAACTTTCTGTCATTGCTTGTTAAACCTGAACAGATTAAGCATCAGCTAAATTCTCTAAACCAGAAATGATCAGTCTGGGCTCTTATCCAGACCAGGTGAGCCGAGGGTCAATCGACAGCCATAAGGGAAAGAATCGAGCACAGGAATTTTTTGTACCACAGCTCATCAATCATTAAAGTTCAAAGCAAAATATTTCCTTTAAGAAGCTAAGAAAGAGATGTCTTTATTAGTTTTGTTGGCGTAGTCTTATTGGATCTGCAAGGAAAATATAGAATTGAACAATTCATAGCAAAACAAGTGGAGAACAAGCTAACATTAGCCTAGCATCCACACAAAGTTTTTCCTGTTTTGCACAATATGATGTGTTTCTACGTAAGTAATTTTTGTAGCAATATCTTCCACGTCCAGTAGTCTCCCAAAAATACATAAAATTACATATATGCCTGTTAAATTAACGGTTTATCAGAAAAGACTATTGAAATCCCAGCTCTGAATATCAAATCTTAATAAAAGGTTTTGACAATATATATTTATAATATTTAGATTAATATTTGTATCAATATTTATGCAATATACTCTTGTTACATGACAGAAGTATGCACATCTTCTTTATTACAGTAAATACTCATATGTTAATGCAAGGTAGGTTTTAATGAGCATGATAAAAATATACAATTCATTCCAATAACTTTAAAGGCATAGTGGAGGATGCTCTTTTTCTGGATGGAGCATCAAAATAAGTGGTCCTCCTGATTGTCAATCATTCTGGTGATATGTTTACATACTGTAAGGCCGTCCTACGCGCCCTCTCCATTATCACTTACCGGTGGTGAGTCTGATATAGTAGAAAAATTGCAAATCTTCGTTTGGACAGCAACTTTAAACAGAGCGTGCACAAGGAGAAATTGGCTCGTGCACGCTGTCACATGCATTTAGTAGCCGTTCCCTCTTGGGAGCGGGTACAGGGTTGTGCATGTGTATTATTTTTTTTAAGTGGAGAGGGAGGGTCTTTTTAAAAAATTTGCGAAAATCCTTCATTATACCTTTAATATTATATAATATGTTATAATATATCCATCCATCCATTTTCTAGCACGCTTATCCCGAGTGGAGTTGCGAGGGGTGGTAGTGCCTATCTCCAGCAGTCAATGGGCGAGAGGCGGGGTACACCCTGGACAGGTCGCCAGTCCATCGCAGCTCAACACAGAGACAAACATGACAAACGCACACACTCACACCTAAGGGAACTGTAGAAAAGCCAATTAACCTAACAGTCATGTTTTTGGACTGTGGGAGGAAGCCGGAGCACCGGTAGAGCACCCACGCATGCTCAGGGAGAACATGCAAACTTCATGCAGAAAGACCCCGGGCCGGGAATCTTCTTGCTGCAAGGCACCACTGCTACCCACTGCCCCACTGAGCAGCCCATATAATATATATAAAATTGTATTATATGATGAAATACTCTAAAAGACAGAGGTGGTTGTAACGTTCTAAAAGGGTAAAATAAAGGATAAACTGAAGACATTAGATAAGTAAAAAATTATTTCACAAAAACCACATTAAGCGTCAGTTTTACACCAAGTTGTTTTGTGTAAGTTTTATCTCATTTTTTCTGTTTTGATTGTTTCCTCCTTTTGTTGCCCTTTGGATGCCTACTTTTTATTTCTTTCTGTAACGCCACTTTTTTTTTCCTTTTTTAAACAATAACCTTTTATTCTACTTCCCCAAACAAACAGCTGCAGGTATAAG